GTTTTTATGAGTACCGTACATAGCTTATTTCAAAGAATCGAGGACTGTTTAAAATTAGATTTTTTTTCCCATAAAAAAACTGTGTTTTTCATGTTTCTGATAGACATATTTTTGGATTGTAAGTCAAAGTATTAGAGTAACTGCATCCGATCCGAAGTATTTCCCGCAAAAGAATTAACTGGAACGACGACGTGATGATTAAAATCAGTTACAGAAAGGCATTATTATTTGCATTTTAGGTGTTTTTTTGAAAAACGAACACATTATTTATGCCTCTTTTTTTAATTTGTTTATATCGATTGACTAATGTTTAGAGCTAAAATTGTGTCAGGAAATAAGTTTTAGGGCCTGGAGAAACGAAACGAATAGCTGCCGATATGGCTGCGATGGATGCACTGATGAGGATTTGGGGTGTTACCGCGGACAAGAAGTTTCCATTTGGTGAACTTGAATCGTTGGATAATCAGATAGATCCGTTCCTGAAGCCACATTATTCCCTTCAAGAAATTTGCAAACCAAGGTCTCTTTTTTGCAATAATTCTAAGTTTGTTACTGCAGTTGTTTTACTTCTGCTTGGGTTACTGACGAAGTTCAGTTATGGTAATGGTAAGAAATGTATACGACTTAATGGACCGAAACATTTTTTGTTATTATAATAATTTCACAAATTTTCTAATTCTCATTTCTTATCTTTCTTTTTGATTCTTCTGCTTATTTCATTCCTTTTTAATATACCTTTCTATTACTTTCGAGTGCCTTTGCCCCTTGCGGAAAGTCGAGCCGGGGAAGTTCTGGCTTAAATTTAATAATTTTTGGAATTGTTTCTTGGTATATTTCACAAATTGGTACCTTTTTATGTTAGGACAGCATATCATGAATATAATTTCTTTCAGCCTGGTTTTGAAATTTGTCGATCTGGATGAGCAGGAACCACCGTTGGACGTTAAAGAAGTAGCATTGAGGTACCAAAAAGAAGTTGAGGCTGTGGTAAGATTTTGAAAAATAATTTTATGCTTTTTTGGTTAGGAGTTTTCTTTTCACGTTATCCTTGCGAACATGCGTGGACTGTCTTGAGAATGTCAGTTGGTAATAAATTGGTTTTCTGCAAAAAATAAAAATGAAAATTTACCAAAAATTCTTATTTCCTAGACTTTTTCATAAATCGGTTAATGGTTTAGTATTTTGCAGGATTTACTTCACGATTGCACTAAATTATTCTTAAATTGTCCTTAATTCAGTTAACAAAGAAATCATTCCCTTTATGAATTGTACTGAAATTCTTATTTTCTAGTCTTACGAATATACCGGTTATTATGGTTAAGTGTTCTGCTGGTTCCACTTTGCGGCCGCACTAAATTATCTTTTACTCATTTGGCAAAGAAATCGTTCTCGTTACGATTTATTGATTCGTATCACTGGTTATCTAGCCTTAGCCTGGCTATTGTACCGAGATTAAGCACTATCTCCATTTTGCTTTCTAATACATCACAGAAAAAG